TGCAAGCGAATTTTAAGACGCAAAAAGAAATATAAAAAGGGCATAAAAACAAACCACAATGCAGGAACTAAAAATTTCAAGACGAAAACTCTGAAACTAAATTAAGATTGGAGGAAAATATATATTCATGCACACTGTAAAAGGGCTGCAGCCATCTTAACAGGTTTGGCTTGCTCCAGGGCCCCCCTACCGCCCCCTTCTGCTCCAGCGCCCCCACACTGCCCCTTTTAATTCTATCGCCCCCCTGAAAAATGAAATCGCCCCCTGGGGAGCATTATCGCCCACATTAAGAACCACTGTTCTAGATCTTCTTCTTTTGCATTGACTTGGGATGTAACAACTTTTTAATAATGATGTGCTGCATTCAAACCAGCTTTCTAATTTTCCCAACCGAGTTCTCTCTCCTGTACTTCTATTTAATTTATCTGGAATGACCAGCAGTAACTCTTGGTAATTTTAATTTCTCAATACATGACTGAAGTATTCTGGGGTTGTACATACTATTTGAAATCCAGTAGTAAGTGACACCTAGAGTAGGCCCATTTGAATCAATGGAACACAGAAAGGAGAAGACTCAGCAAAAGTCCGCTGATTCAATGGACCTATTTCAGTTGTGACTTAATGATTTCAGTCATTATGTATTTTATGTTTTTTTGTTTGTTTGTTTTTGGTGGTCTTCATTCATTCTCTTTAGTACTTCTTGGTTGATCACCTCTCCGATCTGGGTGCATCTTACCATTGTGAAATAAATCCATATTTCATAAAGCTTATGTCTTTTTAAATAATTGCCTGTGTTGAATTTGATGTTTTCATACTATACAGTAGATCCAAAAACACATAGCACCATAAAACGCACATTCTTAAAGCTAGATGTACATTTTAGTTGCATAGTACATTTTTTCATGTCAAGGTTTTTTTTCCCAGGCTATTTCTTTTCTGATTTCTGTTGCATGGCTATGATCCCCTGTTCATTCAAATTTCAAATTGCATTTTAGATCTTTATCTTTCTTGGGCCACTTGCTTTTTATTGATTACTGTGAACACAGTTTTCTTATCATTTATTTTTAGACTATCCTCAGCATCTTCACTGATTTTATTTAACCTTTGCAGGCCCTTTAAATGACCACCTTGTAATACTCTATCATCAACATATGGAATGTGTTCTCAGCTGACATTGCTGTTCTTTGAATTAGCTAGAGACTTTGAAAAGTGGCTCTTCAGGTGCAAATTGAAAAGCAGTGGCAAGAATATACAACCTTGCCACACTCTCCCTGTCTCTACATCATCAGGCCTTCAGTTTTCGTTGCAGTTATTGGTTGCCAGTTCAGGTTGCCAATTACACTACTATCTCTTCAATCAAAATCTGCATTCACACAAATTCCATCAGTTTCCCATATTGGACTTTGTCAAAGGTACACATATCCACATCCATGCCATGACATTGGTCCCCTGGTATATAGACAGAACAGTGCTCCCCTGGTTGCATATCTTCCTCTAAATGAAAAAAATTGTCTACTGCTCCTTCTTTGTAAATTCCGTCTTTAAGAAGATGGCCCATTTAAATCCATTGTTCTGTATTCACTGTAAGTTTTGACATTTTCCTTTTTGTGGGTAGTGTACTAAAGGTCAGTTTTATCCAGGAATTATTCCTGCTTTGTAGATTTCATTAGAAATAGTAGTCGGTAAAGCACTGAAACCATCATCTTCCACTTCTGCAAAACCATAATTAAATCTGAGTCTTTTGCTAAGTTTTGCCAGTCATACTGATTTTCAGGTCTCTGTATTTGCAGCTGAGCATCAACATCTGGGACAATTAATTCTATAGTCTTTAATTTGCTGACTCCATATTATGATTTTACCCAGGAAGTGGGAAATTCTTTGTCCCTCCGGATCCCATACCATTGGCCATACTGGTGGGGATGATGTGAATCCTAGGGCAAAATGTCTGGAGCACCAGACATTATTTTCCCCCTTTGAAGAGTGGAAATGCATACAGTTCTTTTAAAAAGGTAACATTTTAGCACCCAAGTGCAATTTGCCCTGTAATGGGGAGAAAAGTCAGGATGAAATCCCGTCCTCTGCACAGTTATGAAAGGTATAGTGTAGATACTTTATTCTTCCCTTTTGACTCCTCACTTTGTTCCAGGAAATCTTGGGTATTTCAACTTCATTTCCTGGAAGTACAGTTTTATGAACTAAAAATGTCGGTGGTATTTTTTTCCAGATTATCTTTTTTAAAAAATTAAATATAGCCCCATTATATAATTGCCCTTCCATGCTGAAATATGCATATACACAGACATATCTGCAAGGCATCTCTTTACACCACTGCACCTGGCAACGTTTTGAACCCTGTTCTGCGGCGGCGCCTTATAATTTATTTGCAAAGCAGCACAGTTCACCCGAGCAATTACGGCACCGTGCCCTATTTTCTGTGTATTGTAAGGCGAGAGAAGCGTCAGTCTACGAAATACGGTAAAGTTTCGCTCATTAGGAGGTGGTGAGAGGGAGGAGGGGGTACGCTGAGTCACGCTTACCATAATTAACCACATACACGCGAATATTCATTTAGCCAATTTAGGCATCTCGCCTGTGTTCCTCCTCAAAGCTGGTGATGCAAAACGGATTAACTAGACTAGAGAGCTTCTGGCGAGATATTATTACTGTACCTATATCACGATCACGAGGAATGTCTGTCGGGCAACAGACATTAGAAAATGAACACGCCAAAAATTCTGCTGGCTTTGGGGGCTGGTGGGGGCAATTATTTGCACCCTTTCCATTGTTTGGCCGATCAAAAGCGGGTCCCTTTAGTTGAAAAGTGAACCCCCAGGAGACCCCGACTTTAACGAAGAGAGACCCCTCTTAACAGAGGAATATTCCTGGATTAGTCCGAAGTCCTTCCGATCCAGTACCCTTTCCTGCAGTGCACTGGAAAGGGGCCTCTCGGAAGCAGACGAACCAAGGCATCTGATAAACTATCCCTGATCATGGAAGTTCTACTGAGCTGTCACGGCTCTAAAAGGGCCCATTCTCTCTTTCGGGGGGAAAATAAAGAGATGCAATGGGTGGAGGCAAATGTTAAAAGATGAGCGCTGTCCTGTGAAGTCGCTCTCCTTTTTCTAGCCCTCAACACTTGAACTGCTCACATACACCAAACACGTTTATTACCCTGGCTTCAAACGTGATACTTCTCATTCCTACCCTGTTCCAGGCCCTATTTCTCATTTCCCTTTTATTCTTGTGATCTGAGGGCTGAGATCTTGTGACTCCAGAGTTTCCCTGTCACTTTCCTCGCGCCACGATAGGGACGTGAGAACCAGGTGAGGCCAAGGGCCGGATTTTGGGGGGAGGGGGGAGAATGGTGGTGAGGATGATGCAGAGAGCTGGCAGGGTACCGGGGAGAGTGTCGTGGAGTGAGCTGCTCCGCTTCCCCAAAGGGGAGTCCCCACTCGGCCCCAGTGGAGTCGGTGGGGAGAAAAGAGGAGGCCAGGGCTGCCTGAGGCAAATCAGCAAAGAAAGGGCACATAATCCCTAAAAGCCAAGACACCTTTTGCAGATCCAACAGAACGATTCCCAAGAGCCTCTCCCCACCCCTGGCAGTCAAATGGCTAACAACTCGAGTCACCCCCCCCAAAAAAAACCCGCGGCTTCTCTGCAATGGGTAGGGCCGGCCCTGCAGAACACCATCATGGCTGATAGTAAGTGGTACTGAATAAATCCACTTTCTTGCTTTGGGAATATTCTCTGCGGACGGCAGGGACGAAGGAGGGAGGTTCCCCCTCTTCCCCCGTACTTTCTGGAGCCTTTCTGATTTTACGGGTCAGGTTTGGTCGTGTGAATGGGGCACTGGAGGGCTTCAGGGCAGGGCCTGGGTGGGGCGTGCTACCCTTCGGAGGCCGGGGGGGGGAGGAGGGGATTCTCTGCGGGAAGCGGAGGAGGGAGGGGGGAACCGGTG